ATTCCATAATGCATCCGCCATGCATATATGTCTGGAATACATTAAATACGGCTCCGTGAGTTTCATGTTCCCAAAGTGAGGTTTCTAGAACAGGACATCGGTGTATCTGTTGTTCTCAACATTCACTGTGATGCAACATCAGAATGTGGGACACATAATAACACTTGTGGAGCGTCAAAACCGGACGCTTACTCGACAAATTAATAAATCAAATAAACTAACAACAGACAATTAAAAATTTGCCATAGGAAGGTTTGCCGAAAAAAAGAAGAAAACAATAGATTAATTCTTTATTTGAATTTCTAGGTTGAATATGAACGAAAAAGGTATCGCAAATTGAATTACTTCAAGTTAATGAAAGTTTCGATAGATGAATGATATTAGAAATTTCACGGATATGTACTTTTTTTGGAATTTCTGAAACTTTTTCTCTCTCTTTTCCGGAATGTAGGTGATGATCTTGGCCCGTTGGACAGGTTATCCCTAACAGTCCCTCAGGTGGGCATTTTTGCGTGAACTCAGTAGAATAGTTTGGTGTGGAAAGTATATATCCTGGTTCCCAGGTATTTCATAAAACAATTTCGATTCCCAGTCATCTAAAGGGATGAAACACAAATAAAGGAGATTTTTCTAAAAGTCAAAGGAAGGCCGCGGTGGCCTAGTGGTAAGTCGGTCTCGGAGCCGGAAAGTTTCAGGTTCGAAACACGATTCCACTGAAGTTCAGCCATGTAATGGGCCTTTTGCACGTCAATATATAGGGGGTCAAATGTCCTCCCGCTAGTGTGGTGTCTACAACCCACCCCGGACCAGCCTGCCTAATTGTCTTAAGTGGTCCGGAGGGAAGGGAGAACCAGCAGGATTTATTAAAAAGTATTTAATTACATTCTGCATCCGTAAACAAAGGTGGAGATTAGTTACATCGATATATTCTTGTATTCTTCTTATTATTTCAAGGCTTATATTTTTTAAGATACAACAATAAAATCAATTTGATAAAATACATCTCTATATATGCAAAGTTAAAATACAAAAGAAGAAAATAAAATACATCTCTGTATACACAAAGTTAAAATAATAAAAGGATCACAGATCCGAAATCCGAAAACCAAAAAATTTCAGAATAAAACGCAACTTATATACATGTCCCTACAAATTACCCTTAGGTCACAGACCCACCAGTCAAGGCAAATAAAAGAGAAGGCAAAAAGGTAAAAGTTAAGTCAACCTCAGGCGGTCACAAATGGCGCTAGTGTGGTACGGAAGTTTGGAGAGGAGAGTGCCAGCCGAGGAGTCGTCTTCGTCATCTGACCGCGGTTCAAAATGACGATGCCTTTCCCAAAATAGCCCTCGTGTTGCTTCAAAACGGGACGTTAATATAACTAAACTAAACTAAAAGTCGAAGGATTATCAACAAAATAAACAATCTTTGACTTCTGGCTATGACTTCTATAAGAGCGGAGAAGCATACGTCAGGAAATAGAGAGAGTTGACTAAACAAAATAAACAACCTTCGACTTCTGACTATGACTTTTATAAAAGCGGAGAAGCATACGTCATGA